GCGTTCAGACTACTGTCGTCAACTGTGTTCACTATCCGGCACAGCTGGCAAGCTTTCGGAACGAAAAGACTCGCGCAGAATGAGAGCCAGACCATGTTCACGTTCGTAGAACTATCAAAATCAGGGAGTCGTAAAATACCGGTATTTTACGACTCCCTGATTAAAAAGCCGTCCATATAGTACACGTGTCATGGAATTGGCTTGCTGGAACATTTGATTACGGTGAAAACTGTCCAAGACGACCACTCAAGGGACCTCCCGCAATGGTCTCTGTTACCAGGTGGTCTCCTTATCCAGGGTCATTTGACTGGAAATAGCATCTCTTGGTCCTGATTTCAGTGGTCTTCTAGGACAGGTGGTCGCCTTATCCGAGTGGTCGCCTTGTCAGGTTTTAGTGTACAGCATCTGACTTTGCAGGCTTGAACTGCCGATATTTTTCCTGCTGCCCCATAGTTAGACTATATGAACTTCTCCAGTAGTATGCGCTGCATCATTAGAGAGGTTCCGGGGTACGATTTTCCGTGCCAAAATCCGTGTGGGCGCCACGGATTTTTTCCAGGCGAGCTCCATATGATTTTTCGGCACGGAGAATCCGTGTGGACTGGCTTTCACACGAACCATGTTTCGTATGGAGATTTTGCGTCATCGGGTGCAGAAAGATGTTTCGCGTACAAATTTGGTACGAGAAACATGGGTTTTCCGCGGGAAGTTTTGATTTCGGTACAAATTTTCAAAATAAAAAGGCATAGCGCGGGAATGTGACGTGCTTGCGATCGTAACCTAGGCAATGACGGCAAACACATAAGTTCCGTACTCCGGAACATTTTACTGCTCGAAAACGACGTATAAAAAATCCGTCAAAAGTGACAGCTTTGGCACCAGCACAAACGATGTCGCAACAGCTAGCGAATGATGGCCAATTCCCACCTAAATCCACTGGCTCGGCCCTACTACCCGCGCTGCCAGGAAAAGCTAAACTTGTTCTCCATTAACTGCCGCTCCGTTCTCAACAAATCCGCAGAATTGTCGGCTATTGCCGAGATCCACAGACCTGACATTATCTGCCTCAGTGAAACCTGGTTAGCTCCAAGTGTCGCTCTTAGTATCTCTGGATACACCACCTTTCGGCGTGATCGACCTCCTAACGAAAACAAGTCTGGTACCGCCTCCAGGGGATATGGTGGAGTCGCTATTCTCGTTCGTGATCATCGTTTCAGTTGTATCCAACTTCGCAACGACCTCAGTCGCCCTACCTGTGAAACAGTGTGGGTGGAGCTTAAACCTTGTTCCGGCTCCCCAAAGCCTATTATTGTCTGTAGTGCCTATCGCCCACCCTCTGCCAAAAGCACAGAGATAAATCACTTCTGTAACATGCTCACCGATGCCCTGGTCACTATCCCCATGTCCTCGTACCACGTCATACTGACTGGAGACTTCAACTGTAAGCACCAGCACTGGTGCCCAACTGACTCAACGTCCCCCGCGGGAGCTGCGCTCTACCGCCACCTCACCTGCTTCGGACTAGAGCAGCTTGTGAATACCCCAACGCACACAACACCTGCAGGGACCCAGTCGTGCTTAGACCTTCTCTTCGTCAACAACCCCCAGCTTGCAACGGATATTAACACGACTTGCGCTCTTGGATCCTCGGATCATCTGACCGTGTCATGTCGGTTCGAGCTCTCACCATCGCCTGGCCAACATCTGCAGCAAGCACCACGCAAACATTTCCCTTACCGCTATCGTCATGTCCCCTCTCACCGCTGGGACTCTCTTAATTCCGATCGCTCTCATTGTGACTGGTCATTTCTACGCCCAGGCAATTCCCCAACTGTTGACGACGCAGTCGATCGATTTTCAATCGTCCTGGAACAAACCTTCCAGCACCACCTCGCTGATTTTTCCACCCATTCTTGTCGGTCAAACACACGCACATCGTCTGTGACATCCAATCCACCCTGGGTGTCGACTGTCCTCGTATCTGCGGTGAAACGTAAACGAGACCTCTTCAGTGTCAGCCGAAAATTTCCAACACCTGTCAATATGGAGGCCTACCGAGTTCAACGCAACTTTGTCAAATACCTATCCCGTAAAACCTACCGCTCTTACATCAGCTCCCTCTCTGCAACAATCTCATCACCCAATCGTCCTTCTCTCTATCAGTTCATTCGCACCCAGCGTCCCAGTGTCTCTCGCGCCCCAATCCAGTGCTTGATTGATCCTGATGGCAACCGTCAGTCTGAGGCAAAGTCCATTGCGGACACTCTGAACAAACAGTTTGTCTCTCCCGGCCTTCCCGACGATCCGAACTGGGTTATCCCGCCCCTGCACCCAGCTCCAGAGCTGCGCGCTCCACTTCTGGAGGTCTTTACAACAACTGGTGTGGTCCGCAAACAACTGAAACGTCTTAAGAGCTGCAAGTCTCCTGGAAAAGACGGTATTCCAAATGAAGTCCTTAAACTGCTGGTGCCTTCCTTGTCGTATCCCCTGTGCTTGCTCT